ACTTTCCGTACCCACTGTATATATATATATATATATACTGTATGTATATTTTGATATGCTCCTCAATGAGATGCATGACCTGACTTTTTTACTAATTGATTTTGTTGAAACATTCAATACACTTAAAGGGATAGTTCACCCAAAAATGAAAAATCTGTCATTAATTACTCACCCTCATGTCCTTCCAAACCCGTAAGACCTTAGTTCATCTTCGGAACACAAATTAAGATTCTTCAGTGTCACATGATCCTTCAGAAATCATTCTAATATACTGATTTGGTGATCAAGAAACATTTCTTATCATTTTGATGAACAGAAAGTTCAAAAGAACAGGATTTTGAAAAGACGTGAGATTTAAAATTCCATTTAAATCTAGAAAAAAAATGTATATAAGTTTTAAAAATGTTCTGCTATTATTTAAAGGGATAGTTCACCCAAAAATGAAAAATCTGTCATTAATTACTCACCCTCATGTCGTTCCAAACCCGTAAGACCTTAGTTCATCTTCGGAACACAAATTAAGATATTTTTGATGAAAACTGAGAGCTTTCTGACCCTCCATAGACAGCAACACAACTGACACATTCAATGTCCAGAAAGGTAGTAAGGACATCGTTAAAATAGTCCATGTGACATCAGTGGTGCAAGCGTAATTTTATAAAGCTACGAGAATACTTTTTGTGCACAAAGAAAACAAAAATAACGACTTAATTCAACAATTTCTTGTCTTTCAATTGAAAAAAAAAAACAATTTCAATGCGTCGTGGTACTGTCGTGAATGGCGGCAGAGACTGACACGGAAGATAAGAAATGAAGTAATTATTTTTGTTTTCTTTGCACAAAAAGTATTCTCATAGCTTCATAAAATTACGGTTGAACCACTGATGTCACATGGACTATTTTAACGATGCCCTTACTACCTTTCTGGGCCTTGAAAGTGTCAGTTGTGTTGCTGTCTATGCAGGGTCAGAAAGCTCTCGATTTCATTAAAAATATCTTAATTTGTGTTCCGAAGATGAACGAAGGTCTTAGGAGTTTGGAACGACATGAAAGTGAGTAATCAATGACAGATTTTTCATTTTTGGGTGAGCTATCCCTTTAATTCTGTTTCAAAGTCAAATATGCATTAAAAAGTCAAGAGGGAAAAGGAAAATTATGAGGTCCAGCAATAAGTTCTTTGAACTTTGAGATTTGTTCACTAGCCGCACATGGCACAGCTGATTGGTTCTCTCCTGTATCAGTAGCCAATGAGCTCGCTGCTCAGCATTCAAATATATGACTAGGGCTTACCGTAGCAGTTGCAGCTTGCTTCAGAACTGCGAAATCAACATCTAAGGCCATGTCCACACGTACATGGGTATTTTTATAAACTGATTTTTTCCTTCTTCCATTTGAAAAAAAATCTCAGTCCACATGAAAACGCAAACGCATGCTACGAAGCACTGTCAAGAGCATGCCAAACCAACAGGTGGCGATATAATCTCAACCGTAAAGCCATGTTGGCCAATCAGAAGCCTGAAAAAGTCTCCAGTAGGACGGCGATAACAGTTTTTGAAAATCTTCACCCTAGCAGGCGTTTTCAAAAATGTTCGGTTTCAGTGACCTGGTGCTGCATTTGCGTGTGGATGAATGGCCAAACCGCGTAGAAAAAGCTGTGGTTTTAAAAATAACCGCGTTCGTGTGGACAGGGCCTAAGATAAGTGAATGCTCTTCTAATCCATATCGCTGTGTGTAATGCGTGGTCTGCCTAATTGAATTAAAAAATGAGCAACTATAATCAAGTTTATCTAAGTGTCATGTTAGCAGTTTGCATTGTATGCAGGAGCAAATATTAAGCATATTAGCAGCAGCATTTAGCATCTGTGTTATACACTCTGGAGCAAAACGCAGTTTAGAGCATATTAGGGATGGGAAGATTCCCAGATTTGCTCGGTGCATCGGCATATAAAGTTAGCGATGCATCAGTTTAAAAAGTGTGCATCGGCTACAAGTTGGCATTTATATTGAGATGCATCGTTCTAACATATTTGCATCAGTAAAAACCTATTTATTTATATATAATTACTAGTGGATGCGCTATACTTTTATGGTTTCGAAAGTGACCAGTAATCTGTGACCATATTTTATATGTAGATTGATTTCTCCTCTCTAAACTGTTCTCAAGTGCGTTCTCTCATCACCACTGCTGCTGCGTGATTGTGACGCATCACAACACTACGGAGACCCGAGGAAAAACTGGGATTAAAGTCCAAAACCTGACCTGAAATAACCTAACAAATCAATCGGGGCTAAAGCGGTTCCATAAACGACAAATTATGTTCACACAATCTCTCTAATTGTGCACGTTTATTCTTAAGCAGCCCTTAATGTCGATCATGGATCAAATCGATCCACCATCGCAAACAGCGAATATGTGCCGTTTAATGCATTTGAGACGTGTTTTCCTCAGTGCATAACTGACATGTTACAGGTATATTCTTCATCTGTAAATGTCATAAAGTCACGCAAACATATCCATTTTGCTGTCAGGAGTGGGCGAGGCTGACACGAGTGAACAAGCGCTGCTACGCGCGTGCGCACTAAATAGACTGAGCGCAATCAAATAGGAGCGCAATAATTCTAGTAAAATATACATTTTGCTAAAATATTTGTTGTTGGACATTAAATGTGTCTTTTGTAGAATGTTCTACAAACTATGAAAGGTACAGCTGTCATAAAACCAGAGAGAAAGGCTGCATGATGAGTCAAACTAACTGAAATAAGCCTGGCTTATTTGGTAAACTTGTTTTATGAAACGGGCCTCGAGGCATTAAAAGTGATCATATTTTCTCCATTGCATTGTATTGCATCGAATCGCTTTGTGTTGAATCGAATCGAATCGAAATCGGATCGCACTGCATCGTAACGGGGTGAATCGTATCGCATTGCATCAGTAGCTGCTTCATATGTATTTTTAATGTATCGTATCGTTGGCTATGCATCGAGATGCGTATCGTATCGGCCTGAGTCATGAGATGCACATCCCTAGAGCATATGTAATCGCTCTGAGGACACGGCGATTGTAACGGACATGAAACAAGTTAAATGAAATAAGCATTCTGGTGGATGCATTTCAACGGGGGTTCGCCATATACATCGGCGATTATCCCAGTGTTTCACGTTCGTTATTTCTAAGGTCGATGTTTTCATTGTGATGAGTGCGTGATTGATTTCAGCTGTGCCGCTTGGACTGATGAAGTGGAGAAAGTACAGCAGTTATCAAATGACTAAATTATTATATTTGCTCAGGTGGGTGCTGGGGTCTTATCTATCGGATTGCAACGTATATCACTTTGTTAATTAAACATTACACATAGTGCAGGCACACATAGATAGTAATACATGCGGTTCACATGGCTCTTCGGAGTACAAATGTCTTGGCGATAGATCTGCTTGTTGGGGGGTGTTTTGTTCTTGTTTTGGCTTGTATTGTCCCTTCTATGTCTCCTGCTTTGTGGGGGGTTATTTCATGTATGTTATATTTGCAGCAGCAATATTTCTTACATGCTCACAGCAGCATGTTGTGGACGTATTGGCAGTAGCAAGTCTCGGTACTCAGTAGCAGATCTATTCCGCCAAGATCAAATACATTAACATTGTCATGTACATTACCATGCCAATCCCTCCGAGAGTTGTCATGACAGAAATAAGTTTAACATGCCACTAGCATCATAAGTGTATATGTGTGTGTGTGTTTGCAGGCAATAAAAGGCTCGACTGCATCTTTTATGCACAGATATAAACACAGACATACACACTGCTAAAGTTACCATAGAGGGGGATGTAGGAGAGGGAAGACCCTCACTGGAGTCCTCTCTGATTACATCCTGATGGAGGGAGGCAGTATGGATGAAAGAGGAAGAACCAGAGTTACAGAACAAACACCTTTAGATTGGACAGGGGAGAGGACTAACATAGAGATTGACATGAATTATGGGGGGTTTCCTGTAACTTCTATGAATTCTAGAAACTCCATCAGGTCTTTAAACGGAAATGTTATTGAAAACAAGTGTTTCCATGCTCTTTTAGAAGTTAAAAGTTCAGTCTACAAAGTAGACAGACTCTAACCAGGCAGAAATCATATATTGTCATAACCATAAGATATTAAAATATGAGACTGTATAGTGGCAGAGAGATTATTACTCATTTGCCATGCAAAAATGTTATCCAATCATAAAGGTTTACATGTACATACACAGAATTAAACAGCTACCATACCTTTAAGACTGAAACTAAGTGAGGAGGAAATGAAAAAAGGTTGAAAACTAAAAGCGTTTATATACATTTTCATTTTAAGAAACTTCAATGAAAATGCTACAGAACTACAAAACTGCTCTGTGAGTTTAGCGTGCAACGTTATAGCATACAAGCCACAGGCTGTTTGTCACAAGGAGCTTAAAACAAAGCATGAAAAAAGAGAGATACATTTAGCATCATGAGACAAAGACATTATTGTGGCCATATAGACTAGGCACTAAAATGCATGTCTGGCTGCAGTGACTTTGAGGCGTTTAGTTATGTACTTACTAGTCCCAGACTGTGGTCCTTATGGAGTTTAGTAGCAGGGCGTGAGGGGGCGTGATGGGGGCTGCCAGGGTAATGTCGGGGCAGGTGATAAACATGATGAGGGAAGTAAGGCTATAGAGGTGGAGAGAACAGACAAATACTCAGGAATCTGATGAAAGAGGGTCAGGTGAGGGTCAGCACCACATCAGGCATTCAATGAGTGGGCAAACACACATTACAGCCTAAAAACAGATTTATTAGGGCTGGGCTATATATGTATACATTGAATATTAATACTATTACTAGTGGCAGTGGTACAATTATTATTATTATTATTATTACCACGGCAGGACTTACGGGGCCGGGGGCCCCTGGGCTTGTGGTTATGTTTGGGCCCCATACCTATACAACAAATGCCCTCAACTAGAACATTATTATGGAGTTACACAAAATACACCAAAATGTAAATATGCTTTCAGGTTCATATACTGTATACAATTAAGGCAACATGTCTAGCCTAGTCAAAGTTTAGGTAATATTAGATAGTCACTATAATACAATAAACAGGATGTGATCTCTCGGTTGAGAGATCAAAACCCTGAAATAACACTGAGCAGAAAAAACCAAAGAGATGTATTATAAAAATGTATTGTCATATCTGTGTCCATTTATGTCAGATTCTTAAATTTAATAAATTCAATCTGAATTAAAAAACATGTTGGCTATTAACAATCAAATGAAATCACTATAAACAAAATCCATAGATGGATGTTGCGGCATATGCTAAGGAAAATTAATGATTATTAATGCTATTTGTTTGCTTTCTAATAAGCACAGGCTGCGACTGTGCCAGACATTACTTCATGCAGAGAACATAAGCTTTAATTTATTTATTAAAATGCAAGGTTACTTGAGTCAGAAACAATGAAAACAATAACTTTTTCGTGAGGTGTTTGTGAGGCGGCTTCATGTGCGCGCGCTTTGGATGTGACCGTGATCGCCCAGAAAACTAGTTTGGAGTGCACAAGTACCGAATGGTTTAAAAAGACTTAAAAAGACGTGCAAATTATAAACTTTTGTGATGATGCAACACTGACCCAATTAGGCAAGTGACAGTTCTGTCAGCTGAGCGAAAGTCTTGTATCGCGGTGTGCAGCAGCTCTCTTAGTGCAGACGAGATGCGCTGATGTGAGGCAATTTTGAGAGTG